AATTCTGCATTTTTTTTTCTTTATATTCAGAATCGATCTTCTTTAACTAATACTTTACGTGGTATAACAAATGAAGAAAAACTTAATAATCTTTGGGTTAAAATGCAAATTACTGTTAATTCTATATTTGATAGTTCATTAGATAATCGAAGTGGTGCTCGAGTAGCCAAAGGTATTCGACAAGTATGTTATTCTTTGTTTTTTTTATTGTAAAAATTAATTTTATTTTTTGAAAAAATAATAAAAGGTTATTGAAAAAAAAGAAGGCTTACTTCGTATGTATATGATGGGTAAACGTGTAAATTATGCTGGTCGATCAGTAATATCACCTGATCCATTTATTGCAATTTATCAAGTTGGAATACCTGAAATATTTCCAAAAAAATTAATTAACTTATCCACAATTAGTTACACCAGATAATGTTCATGAATTACGTCAATTAATTCTTAATGAACCAGATGTTCATCCTGGGTATAATACAAAAGAAAAAACAAAAATTCTTTGATGATATACAATAAAAAAAGATTATTTTAGAGGAAATTTTGTTGAACTTGAAGATGAAACAATTCGTCGTTTATTACCAAATAATTTATCTAAACGAACAGCTGTTGCTAAACTTTAATTAACAAGAGAAAAACAACATAGTAATACAAGTTTAATGTTTAGAAAAAAACGTTTATCGACATCTTCGAACCGGTGATTATGTTCTTGTTAATCGTCAACCAACATTACATCGACCAAGTATACAAGCTCATATGGTAAATTTTTTTTTTTTTGTTCTTTGAATGATATTTTAATTGTATTAATTATAGGCTCGAGTATAACCTGGTGAAAAAACCTTAAGATTACATTATGCTCAATGTAAATCATATAATGCTGATTTTGATGGTGATGAAATGAAAATGAATTAACACGAGCTGAACCTAATGAATTAAGTATATATGTTTTTTTTTGTCAAGGAAAAAACAAAATTTTGTTTTTTCTATTTTTAGTGATAAATTATCAAGATTTTCTTGTAAGTTAAGATGGAACACCATTAACTGGTCTTATTCAAGATCATGTTGTTGCTGGTAGAACATTAACAATGCGTGATCTAGTTTTTGAAAAGTATTTTATTTTATTCAAGTTATAAAATTATATTTATATAAATTCTTTTTTATTTTAAGATCTGATTATCAACAACTTGTATATAATGCAATTGGATGACATTCTTGTCGAAAAATTCATTTATTACCACCATCTATTTGGAAACCAAAACAATTATGGACTGGAAAACAAGGATTTCTTTGTTTCTCTTAATAAAATCTATTTGTTTTTTTATTAAGATTATTTCAACAATACTTCTTTATATTCAACCAGTTAATGAAGCTTCACTTAATCTCGATAGTAAATCAAAACTTTCAATGAGAAAGTAACAAAAAAATGAATATATAAATAATAAAATAATAAAAATATTTCTTATAGTCATGGCCATCAAAATCAAATGCAACAAATATTGATTTAATGTCTAATACAGATGTTATTATTCGTCATGAACATCTTCTATCTGATTTAATTGATAAAGCACATTGTGGTTCAACACTTGCATCTCTTCTTCATTGTTATTATGAATTATATGAAAAACGTTGTGCTGCTGATCTTGTTACTGTTTTTTCGAAATAATTTACACGTTTTTTTACAATATTATCGAGGATTTACACTTGGAATTGAACGGTAATAAAAATATTTGTTTTTGATCTCGAAATAAATATTTTTTGTTTTAGATGTTCTTTTACTTTCACTTGGTCTATCACATCGACGTCGATTAATAAATCAATGTCGTGCTCAAGCAGGTCAAAAAGCTTTACAAAAAATATTTTCTCATTCGGAAGATTCAAATGAACAAATACTTATTAATGAATTTGCTAAAGGATTTTGCTTGAAATCATTTGATGAACGTATATCAAAAGAAATGGATATTAATTATAAAATATCTATTGATCAATATCAAAATCAAATTGTTAAACAATCTATGTCAAATTTATTTAAACAATTTCCAGAAAATAATTTACAATTTTTAATTCAATCCGGTGCTAAAGGTTAAACTATTGATTCATTGATTTTTATTTAGATTTGATTTCGTTTATTGTGAAGCATTTGAAATTCAAATAGGATTTAGACTGAAGTCATCGACTAGTACAATATGTTATTGAAAATCAGAATCTATGTCTAAAGCCTTCCATCCTATACTCATTATTTCAGGTCGACTAATTCTATACTCGAATCTTTTAGTAACTACGTCACTTCGATTTTTATATGACTATCAAATCGATTTCGGATTTTTCAACCCGGAAATCCCTCACAAGCACAGAAGTGTATAAGATTCCGTCAAATTTTCAAACTGTCTGACGAAGGAAGGTCCCCAAGTTAAGGACGCTGTTCGACTCCATATTATGACAACGAGGTAGGACCAAGAAAAGCCTAACAGGATTCGTGCCTGTGCTAAGGGATTTCCGAAAAGACCGAATTAAAGAATTTCGATTTGAAATTTTGTCCATAGATAGGTCTAATAGTCATTGTAATTGCCTGAAAGTTTCAGCCAAAACGAACGTTCCTTTCTCGAGATATTGAATTGTCAAAAAATAGTCACTTTTCATAGACAGGTCACCAAAACCAAATTCAATATCTCGAGAAAGGAACGTTCGTTTTGGCTGAAACTTTCAGACAATTCTAATGACCATTAGATCTATCTATGGGCAAAATTTCAGGTCGAAATTCTTTAATTCGGTCTTTCCGGAAATCCCTTACCACAGGCCCAAAATTCAGTAAAACGGTCATAACTCTTCGTCGATATGCCATAGGCACAAATCCTTTCAGACTTTTCTTAGTCTCATAGAGACCTACCTCGTAATCATAATATGGGTCCGTAATTTGGAGAGCCTCCCTCGTGAGAACTTTGATACGAGCTATGATAATTATGTGAATGTACTAAATATTGACTTGTATACTTTTTTCAGTTCCTTGTTTTCATATAACCTGAATGATGTGTTCATTACACTACTTTTCTCATTCATACATTCATCTGTCATCACTATTTTGTAAATTTTAATATAGATATGCTAAACTGCGCTTATTCCATTAGTTTGGTTTGAGAAAGTATCGAGCTTCAGAAGAGTTGAGAAAAAACCTCTATATACTGCTGTGAAAGACGATGGAAAGAAATATAAAGTAAATCCTTTACTACCAAATGAAGGCTACTCATTTTTATGAAATAGGTAGTTCAGATCTTATGAGTATTTCAATAATGAATCTGATACTGGCATTTGTTTTTCGAGTTCGAAAACCTCTTTCAATTGACCATCATTTCATTTCTAGACTATGTTTAATCTCATAACAGCAAAAGAATCCCAACAGAATGATATTAAAACATGCCTATTTCCTATTTGTCAGTTTCTGAACAGTTGTCTATTATTAATGTTCATGTGCACACATTTTTCGGCTCACAAAAGGAATTCGTTTGTTCGTTAATAGAAAACATGTTAAATAATCGATATTAGATATATCACAGAAGCTACAACAAAACAGCTGAAAGTGATGAACTAATCAATTCGATGATATACATTGTTATTTTGCATTCGTTCAGATCGGATGAGCTTCTATTTGCTGAGAGGAAGAACTAAATCGATCTTTGTTTGAAGCAACTTCTTCATATCAGTGACCAATGAGTGTACCTAAGCGCATATCCAAAGACAGAAAGTTAGAACTAAACTTTGACGATGTGTAGCATCAAATAAAATTGGGTATCTATAAGCTATTTCTAACCAACGTTTGATCTTCCTTTAGAAAT